TATTATTATTATTATTATTATTATTATTATTATTATTATTATTATTATTATTATTATTATTATTATTATTATTATTATTATTATTATTATTATCCTTAGGTTTCTTACAATAGATTGTAAGTAAGTATACCTGATCCAGGCTGATTGGCCACTAAATGGCATCAACGTATACAGAAGTTTTCCTTCTTTGCTACTCACCAGTGTTCTGACCTTTTGCCATCCAGACATAATGTATGTACTTATTGGATCATATAATTTACATATTTTATAACCTCCCTTATCTGTTGGGGTCTTCTTGCTCAAGCAACACCAACCTTGACTGTGTGAACTCTTATTGTTAAGAAGTAATCTAAGTTAAAGGCTTTTCTTACTTGGATGGCACCTTATTAGTGCTGAAAAGAACAGAGGGTTAGAATCAAGATCACATGAAGTTCTAGTAATGTTTTAAAAAGCCTTAGTAAGACCACACTTGGAATGTTGCATCCAGTTTTGGTCATCATGATATATAAAAGATGCTGAGACTCTAGAAAGAGTGCAGAGAAGAGGAACAAAGATGATTACGGGACTGGAGGCTAAAACATATGAAGAACAATTGCAGGAATTGGGCGTGTCTGATTTAATGAGAAAAAGAACTAGGGGTGACATGGTTAGCAGTGTTCCAATATCTAAGGGAATAGGTGTCAACCTATTCTCCAAAGCACTTAAAGGCAGGACAAGAAGTAATGGATGGAAACTAATCATGGAGAAAACCAACCTAGAACTAAGGAGAAATTTCCTGACAGTGAGAACAATTCATTATCGGAATGGCTTGCCTTCAGGTGGGTGCTCCAACACTGGAGGTTTTTAAGAAGAGACTATTTGTCCAGAATGGTACAGGGTCTCCTGCTTGTGCAGGCGGTTGGACTAGAAGACTTCCAAGGTCCCTTCCAACTCTGTTATTCTTGAAAGATTTATTATTAATGTGTAAAATAATTTTTTCCCACGCTAACATGTGTGAAATAAACATAAATATATGAGCTGTGCTGTGTTAATTTTTACATCTACTTTGGTCTTTTCTGAAGTGCCTGCTATTACAATCTTGGAGGTCTTCTAGATCCAACTCCCTGCTCAGGCAGGAAACCCTAAACCATTTCAGACAAATGGCTGTCCAATCTTTTCTTAAAAGCTTCCAGTGTTGGAGCATTCACAACTTCTGGAGGCAGGTTGTTCCACTGATTAATTGTTCTACAAAGATTCACTTGGATATCTTGGGAGTGTTTTGCTAAAATAAATGTTTCCCCAACAAAATAGCATATTTAAAGATCCCCCCCCCAATAGGATACATAAACATTGAAGCTATTATCCCCTCTCTTTCAGGGAGTGATGACTTAATTTGGCTGGACACTTATATCTGTGCTACTTGAAGATGAACTGAAAGGTCTGGAACTGGTAATTGATACAATCACATGGGCTGTCAGGTACAGTAAAGGATCTGTGTGTCAAGACAACACAATATCCATTAAGACACAGACTCAGAAGAACAACTGGAGGTACTGAATGCCTGGCAAGTTCTACATCTGAGTCCTCAGCTATTTTGATATTCACACTTTACAATAAACAATCTAACCTCCTAAGGTACCTCACCATGCTTGATGTAATTAGGCCCTCATATTTTTTCCCTATTTCTCATCCTCCTTAGTTCAACTTGATCCATGAACCACTGTATGCTCCTTCTGTATCTGCCATTTTCTCAGGGTCATGTTAGGTCTTTGTGTGGGGGATATCTCTATGTTTTGTACTGCAACTCCCATACTTCTCAACAAGCACCGCTTAAAACAGGAAAGCCAGCAGCCCAGGTCCAGGACCCAAGTGTCATGCGACAAAGTGAGCTCCCGTCCTTGCCCCGGGTCCTGACAACCTAGCAGTTCGAAAGCATGCAAATGGCTAGAAATAGCACTTCTATGCCAAACCAAATAAATATTCTACTGCATTCCAATGGTTTCCTTCTCTCACACAAACCAGCCAAGAATGTAACACCCTGCTCCTTTGATATGTTAAGAAATAAATACTGTAAGCATGTGATTTCTGTTTTAATCTGCAATTTTCAATTTCCTTTTCAAATGCCATTATATTACATTTTGGTTTCATTTATATCTCACTTTTTTATAGGAACTTAAGGCTTTTATGAAACTCTCTCGCCATTTTAGTCACACAACAATGCACCTGGTGACTAGTCTAAGAACACCCATATAAACAAATAATACCCCCCTCCCCAAATTTAAATCAGGACCCAGTATAACATAGTTCACCTCCCAAGGGATGAAAGTGGCTGGCATTAGAATTAATTATTTGAATTATATTCCATCTTTCCTATGGGAGACCTGCATGGCTTTCCTGGAGATCTCCCTTAATTTTATCCCTATGAGATGGCTGGAAGAACCCTAGTATTCTGGATCTTCTCAAGCCTAAGTTAATGCCTAAACCAGTATGCAGAGAGTCCTTGACTTACAACTGTCACTTAGCAACTGTTTGAAGTTTGAATCTCCCCCACTAAAAGGCCAATGCCCCCCATGATATGATTTCGGGAGCTTAACTATGACTCTCATTTAGGGCTGTCTGCCACATCCCACAGTCATGTGACCACAATTTCCTTTTTTGTTGAAAGCCACTGTTTACTTTCAGTTTTCAACACCCCACAGCAAGCAGTGGTTTTGCTTAATGACTGCAGTGTTCACTTAATGACTGTTGGAAAAAAAGGTTGTAAAGTTGGGTTGGTCACATAGTTGATTCACTTTACGACTGTTACAATTTACGGTCATAATCATCAAGTTCTGTGACAGTCATTTGTCGAGGACTACCTGAACATCACTGGCTCTTTTATGTCACTGAAACAACACAACATGGTCTTCAAACTTATTTGCCTTTAAATCTCTAGTTCCTTAACTATCTCAGCAATTATTTATTTATACATGCATACAATTTATAGGCCATCCGATTTTCAATAATTTAGGGCAGCTTACAATTTTAATCCTTTTAAAAATTATAGGAGACGAAAAAGAAATTGGGAGCAGCTAAAAAATATCTATCCATCAGGGGCTCAACCTTCACTCTGCCCCAGAACCTGGGAGAACAGCCAGATCTTCATAACATCTGGAACATTATTAGGGTGGATGGAAGCCATTTGAATCTCTGGAAGATCTCATTCCAGAAGGCAGATCCCATAATGGAGAGCGTGTGCTTCTCTGACAGAAAGTGTCAGCATACAAATACACAGGCAGCTTTTGATAAACACTGCCACTGCCTGAGCCATAAAAAAAAAAGGAGGGGACTCAAACCCAGTGAGCAGCTTTCCCTTCCTCTCTTACCTTAGCAATCTGGTCTGCCATTTGGAGACGACCGTCAAGTTCCCGCCTAATTTGTGCTGCTTGCTCGTCAGGATTGTCCAGCTGCAGAAAATGAGAACAAAATCATTAGCAGCCATTCAGCAACAGTAAAGGAACAAACATGTCACTAACGAAAAATCAATATTTTAACCTCCTCTGCTTCTTATCGTATTAGTATTTCCTTTGAAAAAAGCGGGTGATGTGAATCAAGGATAATATGTAGGCTACATTTCAACTTTTCATATAGTAATGTAGATAATATGTAAAATATTCAAGAAAAAAAGGAAAACTAGTTTGCTGTAGCGGCTAAGGTGCTGGCCTGGAAACCAGAAGACCAGGAGCTCTACTCCCACTTTAGGAATGAAAGCTGGCTGGGTGGATTTGGGCCAATCGTCCTATGCCTCAGCCCAACCCACCTCACACAGGGTTGTTGTTGTAGGAAAAAGAGGAGGAGGAAAGAATATTAGGTATGTGTGCTGCCTTGAGTTACTTATAAAGTCATAAAGGTGGAATAAAAATCAATCAATCAATCAATCAATCAATCAATCAATCAATCAAACAAACAAACAAACTTTGTTTCTTTGTTATTTTACCTGACAGCACATATTTTCCTTTACAAGTGGCCCTTGAATGCTTAGTAACCATTCATAATTATGACAGCCCCCTCCCCCCAAAAAGCGTACTTATAACCCAGATTTGAATTTCTGTTAGCTGCCTTCTCCACATGATCATGTGATCATGTTTGGCAACCGGCCTGCATTTATAGCTTTTGCAACATACTGTGGTCACATGACTGAGATTTAGCCATAGGTGTAAAATTCTCCTGTGAGCAAAACCGAGCAGACCTAAGATCTGCTCGGTCTAAGCCACGTATAAACCACACTGAATCATGACCAGGAATTAAATCCATTCTAGGTAACATGGATGTACCACTACCAGAAAAAAATATGTCTGTAATCATATTAATCATATTAATCAGACTCTATTGAAAGATACAAGTTGATCCTTCGCCAAGATTTTGTTCATCTAAAACACATGAGGGCAAGCTATTCAGTCTTTTTCATCTGTCAGAAAGGAGGGCAATTATCATTTAGGCCTTTGTTTTTCTTCTCCAGGCAAAAAGAAAAAAAAATCAATTGAGTTTTCAAAGTTCACAAAGACCTTTACTCAATAAGAATAGATGTACTGCAGTGTCTATATTTTGTTTGGGATCGGTGTACGTCTTGCTCTGACAAAGAAACATAGCTGAAAATACTCCTAGGGCAAGTCTGAATTTTTTGCTTGCACATTAAAGGCACAGTTCCATGATTCGCTTACAAAATTGACGAGACCAGTATATAGGTATATACAGTGGTGGGGATTCAGCCAGTTCACACCACTTCGGCAGAACCGGTAGCTAATTTTTTGCTGCCCAGGCCCAGAATGGACTTCTGGAAGCGGCATCCACACAGAGAACCGGCTGTTCACATATTTGAATCGCACCACTGGGTATATATGAGAGTGCCTAAGTGGTTTATTCTTTTATGAACTGGCTTATCTCCAACTTGGTTTATTAGCAGGGCAGGGAGGATAGAAAGAGATAGAGATATAGTCTACTTGCTTACAGGCCTTTCCTTTTCCTAGCAGAAAGCTTCACTCCCCAGCTAATTCCTCCCTTTGCTCTTTCTATATTTTTTCTTGCCATCTGATCAATTCCTCTTCCTTCTCTTCACGAGTTCAACTATATGACATTACTACAGCTAAATGTTTTCCAAACTGACCACACAAGAATCAGCCAGCAAAAGGAGATCAGTACAGGTGCTTATTGACTTACGACCATTCAAATGGTTGAGCCACCATTCAAAGTTACAAAGGCCCTGAAAAAAAGTGGTCCTCACTCTTATGACCATCACAGCATCCCCATGGTCATGTCATCAAAATTTGGGAACTTGGCAACCGGCATGGATTCATGATGGTTGCAGTTGCCCGGCGTCAGGGGATCACCATTTGCGATTTCTGACCAGCAAAGTCAATGGAAGAAGCTGGGTTCACTTAACAATCATACGGTTCACTTAAAAGCTGCAGTGATTCACTTAACAACCATTGCAAAAAAAGATTGTAAAACTGGGTGCAACTCACTTAACAACCGCCTTGCTCAGAATGGAAATTCTGGACCCAGTTGAAGTTATAAATCAAGGACCACCTGTAAAGAGGCTCGGTATAAGTTCCTGCATAACACAGAAACACCGGAAGCTGGTAAGATGCTGCCGTTACCTCAGATGGGTTCACAAATTTGTAGCCTACCAGATGAATTTGGGAAAAATGCATCATCCTTTTTTAGCACCAAATATGACTACAGTATTACAATACATTTCTATCCAAATGATACATATTGTACATCTCTTGGCCAATCATTGAAGTTCTGGGTCTAAAATTAGTTAGGGAGCCAAGTTTTCCCCCCCCATTTCTAAAAACTGATCTTTAAAGCTTGAGTCTAATTTCACCTGTCATATTTTTTCCAGCAGTCTTCTACAACTAGCCTTTATCATGCAATAATGTAGGCTACTTTCAGTGCAAATGTACTAGCTGATTGAATGCTTGGTATTCTAATATTACATTGTTAAAGCATGTCTTTCTGAAGGTAGCAGAATACTTTGTTAGCAAGTGACCTTTTGTAAACATTCTGAATATTGTAAATAAATATTAATTGCTTTACAAGCATCCTGAGCATGTGCCCGGTATGCTGCATGTAGCTACTAGTTGGTGGGATGCAGGCAAAGGTACACTGATTTACAAGAAAGTCTCTCCATTAGAGACCCTACCGTGCATAGAATAACATAAGTAGATGTCAGCCCTTCAAGGTACCCCAGACGGAAAACCCAACCATGAGTACTGATACTACCCTTGTTGTAAGACTACAGTAACAGATTCTTGCAAATCTAAAAGCATTTTCCTCCTCTTTGCCTTTACTTTTTGGAGAATTAGAGAGGGTTTTTTTTTCTGTGATGCTTTCTCCATCCCCATTCCTGCTGTGGGCTGAGATATCCCTAATCTGACTGTTGCCCTGGCTGTGAGTCTTCCTCCTGTCTCCCAAGGTTATTGTCACAACCTGTTACAGTAGGCTTGGGAAAACATTGGGCTTTAGTTGTACTTGTGGCATACTAGCCAAAACATGCTAAAACTGACTGGTAATGTCCTTATGTAGAAACATAGAAAACTGACAGCAGAAAAAGTCCTAATGATCCATCAAGTCTGCCCTTTGAGGTTTTTGTTCATTTTTCCTTTTAATTAATTGTTTGTTTTATTTGTTTTATTTTATTTTTTTATTTTTTTATTTTTTTTTGTCAGATGATAGACATGTGTTCATTCCAAGCATGTTTAAACTCAACTGCTGACGATTGACCCACTTCCTCTGCTGGAAGTTGGTTTCAAGCTTCCACCACTCTTTCTGTAAAGTGATACTTTCTAATATTTCTTTTGAGCTTCCCTCCTGTCCTTACTTTGAAAAGAGAATGCTTGAGGTGTCACAGTGCAACCTAGACTGCATTTATCTTATTAAAAGAAAAGTTATGTGAAAATCTTGATGCATTGCATCCTATGCCCTGGGCTGCTCAGCCCTTTAAAGAATGACTTGGTTGGGTCAGTTGAGGAAACACTTCAAAGGTTTCTGCATGCCACAAAGCTGGGAGATGTTAATACTTTAAATAAAAGGGAGGAGATTCAAAAAGAACAAGATAGGCTTGAGCAGCGGGTGGAAGCGAAGAGGATGGAATTTGATAGGGAGAAATGCCAAGATAGGGAAAATGCAAGACACAAGAAGATGGGGGAGGCCTGACTTGGCAGTAGAATACATGGAAGGGATCTGGGTGTCCTTGTGAACCACAAGCTAAGCATGTGCCAGCAGTGTGATGCAGCTGCTAAGAATGCAAAAGCTATCTTGGGATGCATTAACCATAGCACAGAGTCCAGATCACAGGAAGTAATTGTTCCACTCGGTTCTGCTCATTTGGAATATTGTATACAAGACAGTTTAAAAAAAAGACAATTATAAACTGAAGCAGGTGCAGAAGAGAATTACCAAGGTGGTGAGCTGTCTATGAAGAACAGTTTGTATATTTTAGCCTACTTAAAAAAAAAATGACTGAGAGGAGATATAGCAATCTCCAAATATTTGAAGGGTTTTCACAGAGAAGAAGGATTCTCTGTTGGTTCAGGTTCAAGCAAAACATCACAAGAGGAATTTCCTGACAATAGAAGTGATGGCTTTATCTTTTGCTAAAGGTCTTCAGACAGAGCCTGGATGCTCATTAGACAGGGATGCTCTCATAGAATAGGTGTTGAACAGATGGCTGGAACAGATGAACTTTAATGGCTCTTCCAATTCTATGTTTCTATGACCCAGACAATATGGGCTGTAGAAGTCAATATTATGGTGATAATCTGGACATATGGAAGATTGTGAGATGGACTGCAAGAAGAGTATATGGTAAATGACATAATGAAATGAAAGAAAGAAAAAATAGATACATTGTGCATTTGTGAGAGTAAGAGAAAGAGAGAACACAATAGAATACATGAAAGTGTTTTGAGCTATTTTATCTATTTATCTACATAGATTTAATTAACACCTAGCTGCAGCTTACTGTGGGCGCTTTACATAATATAATATTTACATAATAAAAGACCAGAACAATGAAAGATACTTGCATGGAAATCAATGCATATATAACATACCCACTGAGAAAACAACCACAAATACTGTCTTAAGTAATACACAAACACTCCACGGGTGATACTGTAGTGACAAGTTGTGTGTTTCAGTGAATTATGATAATGGAAGATCCACTTCTCAGTTCCGAGAAAAACTTTGAACTGTTCTGAATAAATGCAATCTTGGGGAAATTATACTAATATGTGATGTGAATAAATGACTGGGAAAAAGATTGGAGTACAAAAAAACATTTGGGCTATTTGGCTATCCATTAATGAATGACAACAAAGATAGTTGAGAATTTGTTTAGGAAAATAACCATTTGTTCAAATATACTGTATAGCAGGGGTCCCTAACCCCTGGTCCATGGACCGGTAACGGGCTACAGCATGCCAGCAACCAGGTTGCACAAACAACCAAAGCCCCAACTGCAGGATGTAGGCAGCACACAAAACCACGCCCCCTCCGGTCCGCGGAAAAACATCTCTCCACGTAACTGGTCCCTGGTGCCCAAAAGGTTGGGGACCTCTGTATAGTTTAGGCATACATTTATTCATAAGTACCCATGGCTCAGGAATAAACTAAAAAAACATTTGTTGATTTATTTATGATGAAAAACCAAAAGCATTAGTGAAAGAGGCATGAGTGACGAGAGGTTCGGAACATGATACTAACCATTATTTGGGGTAGACAAGGGTGGATCTTGAGAAAAATAGACATGGAAGAAAAGAAGTGAAAGTAGAAAGTAGAAAGTCTGCAGAAAGAGAAAATAAGAGGAAGTACAATATAAATGAGGGACAGGAATGTGTACAAGTAGTATAGGTAGTTCTCGACTATTGTATGACCACATCTGAGCCCAAAATTTCTATTGCAAAGCAATTGTTAAGTGAGATCTGTTCCATTTCATGACCTTTTAAGTCACAAGTTGTTAAGCAAATCACTGGAGTTGTTAAGTGGATCATGGGTCATTAAGCAAATCTGGCTTCTCCCCATTAACTCTACATGTCAGAAACCGGCTGATGGTAACAAATAGTGATCACATTACCCAGAGACAGTGCAGCTGTCATAAATACAGTACATGCCAGTTGCTAAGCATCCGAATTTTGATCATGTGACCATGGGGAATGCTACCACGGTCATAAGTGTGAAAAAATTGTCACTTTTTTCAGTGCCCTTCTAACTTTGAATGGTCACTAAACAAATGGTTGCACAGTAAGTTGAGGACCACTTGTGTTTACGTAGCAGAAAATGTACCACTGTTGCTGGAAAACCTGAATTATCCCAGGGACTGTTAGATTACATGAGGCAGTGAGAAATTTAGATCTGAAAATAAATGAATGAAAGACCAAAATAATAGTGCACTGAAAGGGAAAATGGAACAAATTACAAGTTATATATAGAAGAAGAAGAAGAAGAAGAAGAAGAAGAAGAAGAAGAAGAAGAAGAAGAAGAAGAAGAAGAAGAAGAAGAAGAAGAAGAAGAAGAAGAAGAAGAAGAAGAAGAAGAAGAAGAAGAAGAAG